GATAATGGATAATGGAGTAATGGATATGGATTATGGGATACTGGATATGGATTAATGGATACTTGGATCTATGGATAATTGAATGGATATGGATATAATGGATATGGATTATAGGATAATTGGATTATGGATATGGATATGGATCTTCTAGCCTCTGGTTGAGCTGGTCTGCACCCGGCGCACCACGGCGTCGCATCCGGATGCTCAGACTCCACGAGCGAGGAGCGATCTCGTTAACAAGTGTCGCACCTTGTTCTTGTTAGCGTTGGTCTCGTGCTCGAAAGCCGCTCGAACCTGTGCTTTCATCACATCCAGCGTCCTCAAAGTCCAGGTCTCTCGATGGAACCATGGTACCGCAGCAGGCTTCTCCTAGCACAGAAATCAGTGAGAACTGCTTTCACCTTCTGATTTCATTACATTTCTCTGTTTTTATTTCGCCTTGGCCTGTTACGGCTGTATAGTATATAAGCATAAAACACGCTGTTTAGCATGCCTCCACCCACGCTATTTGTAGTAAATTTGCTATTTTATTATATGTCTTTGCTCGCATGGTTGTATAATATATAAGAATAAAACACGTCGATTTAAAAAGCCCATTACGTATCGGCATTTGGACTAAGTTGCGACGTTTCAGCTTCTACTTGTGGCCGTATGGTCGTGTATTTACCAGTGTCTGGCTTAGTGTGCTGTCATCTATAGATGTTTAATCTTCATTTAGACATTTTTGTTGAAGTCAACCATAAATTTCATGCTTGGCAAGTAAGCGGTCTTTTTACACCGACGATGTGCAAGCCTGCATCACGCAGTAAACATCACAATTTCCATAGCTTAATCAAGGCTCTCTATGTCAGGTTTACCTTTCAAACTTGCAAGATCGATTTATGGCATTAGTGCAGATTAACGATAAAAAATTTTCTCTGACTGGCCATTGGAACTTTGAAACCTTCACTCTACAGCTGCGATGTGCTCATGTCTCGGCCTAACCAGCCGCTCCTCCCCCACACAGCCAGTTGTGACGCTACCTCCTCCCTGCCCCACACCTCCCTCCGACACAGCAGTGTGACCTAACCTTTCTCCCTGCAGCAGCCCTCCCTCGCACACAGCAGTGTGACCTACCTTCTCCCTGCACCACGCTGCCCTGCCACACAGCTGCAGTGTGAACCTAACCTTCTCCCTGCCCCACGCCTCCCTCCACACAGCAGTGTGACCTACCTCCTCCCTGCCCCACGCCTCCCTCCACACAGCAGTGTGACCTACCTTCTCCCTGCCCCACGCCTCCCTCCACAAAGCCAGTGTACTACCTCCTCCCTGCCAGCCTCCCCTCGCACACAGCAGTGTGACCTACCTTCTCTGTGACCCACGCCTCGACGGTGTCGGCCTCGTTGTAGAGCCTGTAGAGGGACTGCGCGTCGATGAGGCGCTGTCTCCGCAGCTCAGCGAGCTCGTTCAGCTCGCGGTAACAGCACGGCTCGATGCTCGCGAGACTTTTCTTTTTTTTTTTTTCTTTTCCCTCACCTCGGCCGCGCACTGCGCGGCGTCCCTCGCCCCAGCGTGTCGCCTGCTCATGCAGACCTCCCACCATCGTCTTGTAGTTCTCAGCTCTTCGTCGTCTCCTGCCACAATCAATGTGTGTGAGATTCCAATCAATCAATTAATCAATGAACAATGCAATCAGACCCTCCACCATCGCTCTCTGCTAGTTCTCAGCATCCTCTGTCATCTCCTGCATCACGGCGTGACACGCAAATCAATCAAATCATCAATCAATCAATCAAATCATCAATCATTCATCATGATCGATTTCGTCAGGCCATTTTCCTCTAGGCCCTCAATTTTACTGCAGACGGCTGACGATGGCTATGAACTTACTTCAGTGAATAAATTCATGTTGTCTACGAATTTTATTGTTACTTCTTTTACTTTTATGTGTTCTAAATCTATATTATATATAATATTATAATACATATATATATATATATATATATATATATATATAATGAATGATATGTTTAACCGCTTGTTACTATTCGAATACCTGCAGAATTAAACCAAATTGCTGCCATTTTTTATAAAAACTATCGCTGGGGCTAAAAATCTGCGGCTTACCACTTTTTTGTCAATCCTTAATACCAGCTGTTCAATAATAACAATTTGTCAATTATTTAACCCGCTGGCTCATACTAAACAACTATGCTCGTCACCACGCTTGTGCTTGCGCAGCAGGGATTCGGACGGCTGGCTTTCATCGTGACGATGTCCTCGCTCAGAGACGAGACGTCAGGCAGGGTCCCATCATGTAGGCGTCGACGTCGTCGCAGTCCGCCGTAAGAACTGCAGCGAACACATGCACAAACGACGAGTCAGGATAGTACCAGATAGACTTACAAGAGTTATATAGTATAGTATAGTACAGCTATAGTATAGCTACTGGTATTGGTATGTATGGTATGGTATGGTATGGTATGGGTATGGTATGGTATATGGTAGGTATGGTATGTATGCGTATTGGCTTATGGATATGGTATGGTATGGTATTGGTATGGTATCTGGTATGGTATTGCGTATGCGTATGGTATGCGTATGGTAATGGTATAGGTATGGTATTTAGTATAGTATAGTATAGTATATCAGTATAGTATAGCTACAGTAAGAACTGCCAGCAAACACACGACAACGACGCGAGACGTTAGATATGTACGTATAGACTTTACAAGAGTTATATTAGTACAGTATAGTATGTAATAGTAAATAGTAATAGTATAGTATAGTATAGTATAGTATATGTCATAGTAGGCAGTATAGCTATTAGTAGCAGTATAGTACAGTAGTAGTATAGTACTAGTATAGTACAGTAAGAACTGCAGCGATGATGACGACTCCGTTCAATTCAATTCAATTCAAATTACTTTTACATTTACAATTTAGAATTACATTTTGGAGGTAATATATCAGTTAAACAAGTTAATGAACAATGCACAGACTGCAAGACTCAGAACAACGTGAAGGTGGGGGTAAGGGTGGGGGGGGGTCGAAATTACCACGAGCGCAGAGTTAAGCTTTCTGTTGAAAAGCTGACAAGTTAATAAACTTTTCAAACTAAAAGTTGATAGTGTAAACCCAGCTTTGTACAGTATTTTACTGCAAGACCCCCCCACCCCACCCCCGATTTCACGTCCGCAGGATTCCGCGCTACTGCCTGATCATTATGCTATTCATAACCAAGCAATCAATAACATTGCTAACTAGACAGAGGGCACTCACGGAGAGTGCATACCTCCGCCAGAATGTAACATGTATGTGTTACGCGCTGGTTATCGCGGTGCGGCTGGCTCGCTGCGCTGGCTGGCTGGCCTGTGCCTGGCTCGCTGGCCGCTGCGGCGCTAATATCGATCGCAGCGAACACACTAACACACTAACACACAAGAGCCGATGCAACATAACCTCTCCAACTCCATTGGGCCCAGAGGTAACTATACTGCCATCAGCATGTATTCATCAACTTCTACAACTTGAGTTATACCTATAGCAAGTAATTAGCCTCAACATTCAGAAGACCCTACTTTGAAGCCATGACCATAAATAAAAGCCATGTTGCATTACTGCACGTAAGTTGTAAATATTAACCAACGTATAAGTATAAAAGGCTAACTGCCAAGGCCCATAAGTAGGTTAAACATAGTAACCAAACATAATACCAAAGGAAAATTCAGGAAACCCGAGATAATAAAGGCAACAATGGAATTGTTTCTGTACGGACCTGTGCCCTGAATGAGGTGATTATACACTAGGCACACACGTGGCTGTATAGCCCAGCTGTATATAATTATTAGCACATATGATCACTACAACCCTAGCATTTACTATAACCTAAGCTAACATGATCCCATCATGTACGTGCAGGAGTGCTAATTATAGACATTAATAATCCCCTAACTAATTATAGACATTAATAATCCCCTAACTAATTATAGACATAAATAATCTCCTAACTAATTAATAATTGATCCACTTCTCTCTCCATCTTCGTTATAGTCCCCAGGACTTTTGAAGATTAACACTTATGAGGTTAATAATCGCTTATATAATACAGGAGTGATCGAGGGTAGCCGTGATTATCTTGTATTAGTCCACAGCCTCGAGAAGACAATAATAATTCACTAACAAATTATGAATCCCCTTAAATAACACAGGCTCACTAAAGGTTGCCGTGATACCTTGTAATAGTCGACAGCCTCGAGAAGTCTCTTCTTGCGATACGCCGACAGCTCGATGAGATTGTCCCACAGGCCGTTGATGGTGTCGATGCGCACTCGCATCTCCTCGGCGCCGTAGTGACCTTCCCTTGATGAGGTCCTCTCTCCGGCAATGACGTTCTGAAGGTGGTTATGTCTGTCACTGATCTCCGCCTCCAGTGCCTGTAATAATATAATATATAATAATTATATTAAATAATAATAATAATAATAATAATAATATATTATAATAATATAAGCAGTGAATTGATGTGGCTGATACAGTGCCACCTGGTAAGGCGGCTTACTCAGAGCTTTCATTAACTGTTCTCTCAGTTCGTTGACGCTTCGCGGGTGACGCGACCACGAGTGCATGCTGGCTCACAGGCATGTTCACCACGGTTGTATAATTATTAAAGTGTACACCAGTTCAAGCTTAATATTAAAAGCAATACAGAGATAAAACTAAATTCCCCAGGATATACCATTTATCAAGCATGTTGGCATCGATTAAACATTGAATTTGCTTATGCATAATGCACCATTCGCAAAACAATAGATGGCCCTAATACACTTTCCATGAGATATTGAAAATTTTGTATGGCTGTTATAACTTTAAATACCCCCCCCACCCGCCCACACACAACTGAATTCAACCATAGTAAGCCTACTGTACAGCATACCCAAGCTCCCTAGCTGTCTACCCACGGCCCGATCCCTTCTTGCTTCATTTTATTGCTTACCGTGAAGATAATGACTCAATTTTGTATTCTGATTAAGCTTCAGATACTCCCCCCACGTACACAATTGCCAACCGATATTATACAAACTCTGGCGCATTTTTTAAAATTGTTTTTCAAATTACCATCTACCCACGCCCCACCCCTTGCTTTCACCTACGCGTACAATCACTCTTATTACTCTTGTTACTCGTAGCCTTGTGCTGGTTACAGCAGCAGCTCGACGCCGCTGGTAAGGTCCGTGACGCGAGTCGGGGCGAACGAAGCAGCATGTGCCTCCATCCTCCTTGATCCACGCCTCCTCACTCGGCCATCTCCGCAGAAGAACTGCCAGAGCGCGGCCGACTGCGAGCGCTTGGCGTGTCTGTCGGCCTGCGAGCCGCAGCAGCTCGTCGACGCGACCATCGACTGCCTGCCTGCGTTCGACGCGACGCATCGCCGGGTCGATGGGCGTGTAGCGCTGCTCGGCGGGGAAACCAGCGACCGAGGAGGTAGGTCACACTGCTGTGTGGAGGGAGGCGTGGGGCAGGGAGGAGGTAGGTCACAAAGACATAGAGAGCCTTGATTAAGTATGGAAATTGTGATGTTACTGGTGATGCAGCTTGCACATCGTCGGTGTAAAAAAACCGCTACTTGCCAAGATGAAAATTATGGTTGACTTTACAAAAATGTCAAAAGTAGATTAAGATTATAGAATGACAGACACTAGGCAGACACTTGTAAATACACAATCATACGAGCCAAAGTAGAAGTAACACGTCCAAACTTAGTCAAATGCGATAGTAATGGCTTTTTAATGACGTGTTATATTCTTATAATTATACAACCATGCGAGCCAAGACTATAATAAAATAGCAAATTTACTACAATAGGTGGGTGGAGGCATGTCTAACACGTGTTTTATGCTTATAACTATACAGCCGTACAAGCCAAGGCGAAATAAAACAGAGAAATGTAATGAAATCAGAAGGTGAAAGCAGTTCTCACGTGATTTTAATGATTTCTGTATAGGAGAAGCTGCTGGGTACCATGGTTCCATCGAGAGACCTGGACTTTGAGGACCTGGATGTGATGAAGCACAGGTTCGAGGGCTTCGAGCACGAGACCAACGCTAACAAGAACAAGGTGGACACTGTTAACGAGATCGCTCGTCAGCTCGTGGAGGCTGAGCATCCGGATGCGGACGCTGTGGTCGCGCGTCAGAACCAGCTCAACCAGAGGTAGAGATCCATATCCATATCCATTATCCATATCCATTATCCATATCCATTATCCTTATCCATATCCATATCCATATACATATGGGCGAGTGCTGTCACGATGTATTGATGCATCGATTATCATGATAGCTTACTCCACGCTACACAGTAACACTGTATCTTATCATTTTCTCATGTGTCAATGTGCCCACCGTATGTGTGGCACAAAGGATATTGCATAAATACACAGGTAGCAAAGATTGAATGGGTTTTAATTCATAACTAGTCGACAAACTTTTACATCAGCGTCGACCATAAGGAACATAAATTAGAAGATAGACAAACAGTGACAATACATGTACAGTACATCAATCGGTTAATAGAGTCTTATGAATATTGTGATGTATCGTATCGTATCGTTATCACATGGTAATAACAGCTCGTGTACTTGCTTCTGCCACACTATAATATCTGTTGTTAAAACAGTCGATCATAAAGTGGGATACAAAACGTAGAACTCTAATGCAATGCTGGAATATTATTATGATACTAGCCAGGATAGCGTGATGATTTTACTGGCTACTGTTTATTTTGAAGATTTACGAATAGGTCGAAACTTAGGGGAAATCATTCCGACAACAGCTTTCCAGTTTTGTTCTTTTTGTTTCTATCATATGATCATGACGTCTTAATGTTTGTATGTAATTTTCAACCTACACATCAGTGTGCTACATGATAATTTGCTCCACTATTTTTCTTTAAATGATCTATTGCTATACAGTATACACCCAACAGAATTCATAATAGGTGATTTCAAAGCTCTTCAGTAGCACCGTTTTAGTAGTTTAGTAGTGTAGTTCAGTAACACAGTGTGTGTGTGTAGATTTGTTGGTGATTATTTGTTGTCGTATGATGACAGCTGGACCCGCTTGCTGGAGCTGTCAGAGCAAAAGAAACAGGAGCTGGAGCAGTTCCACGGCATCCAAGAGTTCCACATCGAAACAACGGAGACCATCGTACGTTTGTATAGATAGAACATCCCAGTTGTTTGAACATCACCTTGATGCTGATGTTGTTGATGATGTTATTTTGGGTTTTAACAATTATTGTGATGATGATAATTGTCGGGAGAATTGTGTTCATGACGATGAATTGAGTGATAGAGATGATAATGAGAAGCAGTGTTATTGGTGTCGAGACTAGAACGTTAAATATTAAACTTAATTGCAAGTAATTTAATCAAATCACTTGGTGCGTGTGGTTACATATGCATTCAATTCAAAACACGATGTAAGAAGCTTTCCATAAATTTCAATTATTTAAATCTCTTACTGTATTCAGAAATTGGATTTTATTCAATTGAATTCTAGCGATCAGCAGTGAATTACTGGATATAAATTGCATCACTCGGCTTCTCGGTATTGAAATCCTATTTCAGAATGTAAATTTGGCAAATGCTGCGTGAGAGGATTTCATGTTTAATTTACCTAGAGCAAGCATAGTGTACGATATCAGTTATTATACTACCTGACGTGAATTACAAGAAGGCCATTCTGTGAGTAACAGAATCGATTCTTCTTCTATCTCCTGCAGACTTGGATCGAGGAGAAGTGTAAGATCCTGGAGGAGACTCGTGAGTACGGCGATGACCTTGCCGGGGTCATGAAGCTGCAACGTAGGATGAGCTTCATGGAGCGCGACATCAAGGCCATCCAGGATAAAGTACGTCACACTTCTTGTCATTTTGCCCCGCCCTCTATCACTTCTATTTATTTAGATTTATTTGTTTTTGTTTTTTTATCAGCATTGTCTATTATCTTGTTTAACGAATATGGTACCTCCAAAATGTTATTCATAAGTGTAAATAAAGTAAATTAAATTTAATTTAATTTAATTGAATACTTTTTACTCTGGGCCCATACCAGCTGCCATTATGTGAGGGTGAGATGGGTTGAGTTGGCGAGACGCGCTTGAGATTGTGCATAACTAGCAAAAAGCTTCTAATCGTAGCTTCTCATTTGAATGTAGCATCTGTAGGTTCCTTCTCCTGCCCCTGTCATAAGCACTCCAAATGCTGTAGTTTGATCACAATATAAGTGGTTTCTGGGTGCTGAGATGGTTGATTCGCATTTGTCCAGAATCTGTCTGAAAGTAATGAAAGCAATTATTAGGCACATGTCCCGTTCTGTGTGTCATACTTTTCACCCAGTTTGCTCATTCAGCTGGGAATACTCACAAATTCTTATCAAGCTCCCACACTTCATACAGAACTCGCAAATTTGTATGTAATATATACACGTGAGGTAATGCAAGCAGCTACTGCACACATCTTTCCTCTTACCTTGCATCACACTTTGTTCTCAGTTAGAGGAACGTATGTGTACAGTCCTACAAAGCTATCTTAGTAACTACACGATTCTCCCCTCTCCCCAAGCTTCACGCTTTGCTATAAGTTGTAGGAATGTATACAGTCCTACAGAGCTATATGCTGGATGCAACCCCTCCCCTCCCCACGCTTTGCTATGAGTTAGAGAAACATATACAGTACTACAGAGATATCTACTGCACACGTCTTCTCCCTTCTCCCCACACTTCATCTTTTGCTCTTCACTGGCTCCTCCCATCTCCCTCCTCCCCACGCTGCACACTTTGTAGGAATGTATACAGTCCTACATAACTATCTCCCCCACGCGTCTCCTCCCTTCCTCCCTCACGCTTCACCGCTTTACTCTTCGCTCTCGGCAGCTGGAGGAGCTGGAGCAGGAGGCTGCGCGCATCGAGGCGACGAACCCGGAGGAGGCGCGTGCGATCCGCGAGCGCATCGAGGAGATCCGCGTCGCGTGGGCCGATCTGAACACGCTGCTGCAGGACCGCGAGGAGAAGCTCGCAGAGTCCGGCAACCTGCAGCACTTCCTGCGCGACCTCGACGACTTCCAGAACTGGCTGACGAAGACGACGACGGCCGTCGCCTCCGCGGACCAGCCCAGCGACCTGCAGGTGAGTTAGCGTATGTGCGTGCGTGCGTGAATAGTGGTGCGTGTGTGCGTGCGTGCATGATAGTGTGTGTATGACCAGCCCAGCGACCGGCAGGTAAGCTAGCATGCGTGCGTGCGTAGCGGTGCGTGCGTGCGTAGCAGTGCGGTGCGTGCGTGCGTGCGTAGCGTGCGTGCGTGCGTGCGTGCGTGCGTGTGTGTATGACCAGCCCAGCATACATTCGTGTGCACAAATTGCGTGTGGACATAACTTCACACAGCACAACACGCACCTGTGTGCCTGTGTTGCAGGAGGCTGAGAAGCTGCTGCAGGAGCACCAGGCCTACAAGCAGGAGATCGACGGCTACGCTGAGGAACACGCAAAGCTGAAGGAGACCGGTGACCAGCTGACCGCTAACCAGACCGACCCGCAGTACGTCTTCCTGAGACAGGTGAGCATACTCACGATCAGAACATCGCTTCTAATGTACGCGTTTCAGCATGAGCCAGTGATTCGTCTCAATGAAATTAGTGAAATTTTGCATACTACCGAAAAGTCTATAATTTATGTATATATATATATATATATAAATAAATGATAGACACTTTTCGGTGGTATGCAAAATTTATTCATTTATTTATTTATTTACTTATTTATGAGATAAAGAGTTTAAAAGTTTAAATTTATAAGATCAAAAAATATTGTGATGATAACAATACTTCATGTTGTATATTTTTATCGCGTTATCAATTGCATATTACATACCAGCGTAATAAAGTACAATGTTTCATCGATTGTACCAAAAAAAACCTGTGTCCCTCTACGTTACCGTGCGTGTTCCGTGTGTTGTCATCTCTTGTTGCGTGTGTCTCACATGCTACCTTGTTGCTGCTCCCGCAACATCTGGAGGCCCTGAACGATGGCTGGGAGCAGCAGCAACGCTTCCTCTCCTTCTCACACCTCTCAGCCTCTCTAACCTCCCTCTCTCTCACTCCTCTCGGCCTCTCTAACCTCTCTCTCTGTACTCGCAGCGTCTGGAGGCCCTGAACGACGGCTGGGAGCAGCTGCTGCAGATGTGGGAGCAGCAGCAACGCTTCCTCTCTGAGGCGCTCAACCTGCAGGTGTTCCTGCGCGACGCCAAGCAGGCCGAGGTGCTGCTTAACCACCAGGACAACTTCCTCATGAAGGAGGAGCCGACCGTAAGTGCTGTTCACGTGCAGTCTGCCCACAGACCACGCCCTGTCTGCTGTACACGCGTTCTTGTTACGGTTCGCGGCTGCCATTAATCAGAATTCTTTTCTAATAAAAATCTAAATATCTATATTCTATTCTAACTTATCTATTATAATCTCTATTCTATTTAGATTTCTAGGTCCGTTTATTATTTCTAAACCTTGGGCCGATGTCGCATATTAAATTTAATCCCAGCCATTATGAAGTCAGGTTGAAGTCGCGTCACAGTGTCAGGGAGACTCTTGTTGACGTTGGTAAAACAATAGAGAGGTCTGGTCCAGTGGTGGTTGCAGATATAGATAATTCGAGCACTATGTGTTGTCACAATTGTAGTTTAAGTTCGTTTTTTTTCTGGGTCATTCTCATCCTTTTTTTGTGAAGAAGAAGCAATATTGGTAGATGAATATGGTAGCGTGACGTTCTGCGGTACATGAGACATGTGCTGTTTGATTAATCGCTCTCACCGTGTGTTCTCGCGTACGATCACAGCAAGCGATGGAGCAGGCTGAAGCAGCCGTGAAGAGACAGGAGGCGTTCATGACTACGATGGACGCGAACGATGACAAGGTGAACTCCGTCATCACGTTCGGTCAGCGGCTGTGCGACGAAGGCCACTACGATGCGGACAAGATCTTCAAGAAGGCCGAGAACATCCAGGAACGGTAAGGAAGACCCTGTTAATCGCGTAGAAAGACTTACGATTGCGATTTCGACACGATTTTGATCTCCCAAGCAGATGTTATCAATTACAATAATTGGGTATTTTTGATGATCATTTAATAATTTTCGTAATAGAATATCTAATTTGGTGCTGCCGACGGTTTACTCTCGATTATAATTGAATCAACAATTATTATTGGGACATTACTAATTTTCATTACTAAGGTTCATCAGCATTGTTCAATACTAATGTTCATCATTAACATTCATCAGTGTTGTTCATCGCTGGTGTTCATTGCTAGTATTCATAAGCATTGTTCATTGCTAATGTTCATCATTATTAATCATCAGTGTTGTTCATCACTAACGCTCATCAGCATTGCTTATCGTTCATCAGCATTATTCATCAATGTTGTTCATTAGTATTGTTCATCAGTGTTGTTCATTGGTGTGTTCATCGCTGACGTTCCGCAGGCGCAATGCGAACCGCCGGAAGGCTGAGGAGCTGCTGCAGACACTGAAGGATAAGCTGGAGCTTCAGCGCTTCCTGCGCGAGTGCGAGGAGTTCAGCTTCTGGACGCAGGACAAGACGAACGTCGCCCAGGACGAGACTTATCGCTCCGCGAAGACCGTGCACAGCAAGTGGACGCGCCACCAGGCCTTCCAGGCCGAGCTCGACGCCAACAGGGAGAGACTGGATAAGGTCCTTCAGGTGTGTGTGTGTGTGTGTGTGTGTTCATGTGTTCATGTACGTGCGTATGTTTACGTGTGAGCGTATGTGTGAATTTGTGGGTAACCGTGGGTGTAGAGGTGGGTGGATTAAGACCCAAATGCAATTAGTAACCAATAATATCATATGGGCTGGCATCTGAAGTGTATCAGAGGAAAGAATGAAATTTTTTAGATTTTTATTTAAATTTTGAATTTTAAATCTTAAAGCTGGTTGAACCAGGAAGGTTCATTGCTGCGCCACAATAACACTCCGTAATTATGTTATTATCACTTGCATTCCTCTTGCTTCTGAGTAATATGAGCAGTATTTACGTACACTAGCAGTGAGCCTACCTCGTACCACCTCGAGCACAGCTAGGTTGTCACACCAGCTCATTCCGTGCACCTCATAGTTTTCCTTATAGAAAGGTAGAGATAGGCAGGTAACATCGGTGCATATACCTTGTCTGTTATAACGCGTCGCACCAGCACACCCCTTGCACCAGTTAGATTTCCATGCTCCGCGCACGTACCTTCACTCTCGTCGCGTTTCTCCCCCGCAGGAGGGCGAGCGTCTGAAGGAGGAGAAGCCCGAGTTTGCGGAGGAGATCCAGCGTCGCATGAACGAGCTGCAGCAGGAGTATGAGAACCTGCAGAAGGCGACGCAGGAGAAGGGACAGAAGCTGTTCGACGCGAATCGACACGTGCTCTACGAGCAGTCGTGCGACGACATCGACGAGTGGATGAACGAGCTCGAGACGCAGATCGTGCAGGACACGGGCAACCGAACCTGCCAGCGTCACCCTGCCTCATTGCAGACAGCAGTCGTGACCGGGCGGCGGGGAGCAGGGAGGGCTGTGATGGCTTGGCAGGGTATGGAGGGAACGGCGGGAGGGCCGATGTGACGTGTGGTGAGCAGGGGTGATGTAGAGGCAGGGAGGGTGTGAGTGTAGAGGGGTAGAGGATGAGGGCGCGCTGTGATGTGCAGTGCCAGTGGTAGGGGAGGAGGTGTGATGCTAGAGAGGGCTGGGGGGCTGGGTATGGGGAGGGGGCGGGGTGTGATGTGCAGTGTGTGTGTAGAGGACAGGGAGGGGTGTTTGCACCGGTAGCAGGGGTAGATGGGACGCAGATCGTGGCAGGACATCGGGGCACGACCTGACCAGCGTCACCCTTGCTCATGCTAGGAGCCCAGAGGTGAGGGGGGCGGCGGCAGGAGGGCAGGAGGTTGTGATGTAGCAGAGGTAGAGACGCAGATCGTTACACGGACACGGGAGGCCGACCTACCGGTCACCCGCTCTGCAAGAACCCAGCAAGCAGTGATGGGGGCGGTGGGCGGAGGAGGCGGGTGGATGAGCAGGCGGTAGAGACGCAGATCGTGCAGGACACGGGAGACCGACCTGACCCGTCTCCCTGTCAGCAGACCCAGCACGGTGAAGTGGGGCGAATGGGGAGGCAGGGGAGGGATGTGATGTAGCAGGGTTTAGAGACGCAGGTCTGTGCAGACACGGGAACCGACACTGACCAGCAGATCCACCCTGCTCTGCAGACCACAGGTGGGGGCGGCCCAGGAGGCGGAGAGGGGCTTGTGATGTAGCATGAGGTAGAGGCAAGGGAGGGTGGATGTAGCAGGGTAGAAGGCAGGGGAGGGTGTGCATGTAGCAGGCACACCCGTTAGAGCAGGGCGAGGGTGGTGAAAATGGTAGCAGCGGTAGAGGGAGGGAGAGGTGTTACCTGTAGCAGACCCCGTAGAGGGCAAGGTGGGTGTTGGATGGTAGGGCAGGGTAAGAGCAGCCCCGGAGGGTGTCGTATTAGCGGGGGTAGAGGGAGAGGGAGGCAGGGTTGTTGAATGTAGAGGTGGTAGAGGCCAGAGGGTGTGATTGTAAGGCAGACGGTAGAGGCAGGGAGAGCGTGTGATGTTAGCAGGGTAGATGCATGGGGCGTTTATGTAGCAGAAGTAGAGGGACAGGTGAGGGAGGGATGCTGTGGTGTAGGCAGGGGTAGAGGTCAGGGAGGATGTTGATGCTAGCAGGGTAGAGGGAGGAGGCGCAGCAGTGGATGTAGCCAGTAGAGTCAGGCCGGTGTGATGTAGCAGGGTAGAGGGAGGGAGGAGTTGTGATGTAGCAGGCAGCGGGTGGGCAGGAGGGAGCCGCTGTGAGTGTAGCAGGAGCGTACGAGACGGCACAGATGGCATTTTGTCTCCGGTTAACCATAAAAAATGTAAGGAGGAGGGAGGGTGTGGATTGATTAGCAGGTCGATAGCGGTAGAGGGAGGCAGACGGTGTTGATGTAGCAGGGTAGAGGGAGAGGGAGGGTTGAGAGGTGTGATGTAGCAGGGTAGAGACAGGGAGGGTGTGATGTAGCAGGGTAGAGGAGAGGGGGTAGTGAGTAGCAGGGGTAGAGGCGGGGAGGGTGGATGTTAGCAGGGTGTGTGTTGTATGAGGGTGAGGGTGGTGAGGTTGATTGATTGGTAGCAGAGTGGCAGGTAGGGTTTTTTTCTTTGTGATGTATTGGGCAGGCGCGCGTAGCGGCTTAGAGGCAGATTAGGTGTGATGAGCGGGTAGAGGCGGAGGAGGGTGTGATGTAGGGCAGGGTAGAGGCAGCAAAGGAGTGTATGGGTAGCAGCGGAGAGGGAGGAGACTGTGAGTCAGCAGGGTGTTAGAAGGGAGGTGAGTGGTGTGATGTAGCAGGGTAGAGGAGGCAGGGACGGTGTGACGTTGTAAGCAAGCGGTAGAGGGAGAGGGAGGGAGGGTGTGACTGCTAGCAGGTAGAGCAGGGAGGAGTTGTGATGTTAGCGGGTAGAGGGAGGGACGGGTGTGGACATGTAGCAGATGGTTAGAGGCCAGGTGGAGAGTGTGATTTGTAGCAGGGTGTAGAGGGGGGAGCGTTTGTTGTAGCAGGACCGGGTAGAGGGAGGGAGGTGTGAATGTGCAGGGTTAGAGAGGAGATGGGTGTGAGTGTAGCAGGTGTGTTAGAGGCCAGGGATTGGGGTGTGATTTGTAGCAGGAGGTAGTAGTAGAGGAGGGAGGCTGATGATGTAAGCAGGGGTATATGAGGGAGACGGGAGGTCGAGGGTGTGAGTAGTGTGTATGCAGCAGGTAGATGGCAGGTAGAGGCTGTGATTGTAGCCAGTGGTGGGTAGAGGTGAGGGAGGGTTGGATGTGCAGGGTAGACGGGACGGGAGGGACGGGTGTGACTGTAGCAGGGTTGTTGTGGTATGAGGGATGATGCGGGAGCTTGGGGGATGACCAGTGTGTTTGATCTGGCCAGCTGTTGTTCGTGGTAGAGGCAGGAGGGTGTGTAATGTCGCGGGCAGTGGGTGTGATGTAGGCAGTTCTGAGGGTAGAGGGAGGAGAGGTGTGATGTAGAGTGGTTTAGAGGGAGGAGTGTGTTACACGAACTCTGGTGTAGTCAGTCGGGTTAGGAGGGAGGGGAGGGATTATGATGTGCTAGACGCGGTAGTAGGGAAGGAGCGGTTGATGTAGCAGTGGGTAGAAAGGAGGAGGGTCGTGATGTAGCTACGGGTAGGGCAGGCGGGGGGTGTGATGGTAGCAGTTGAGCGGGTAGAGGGAGGGACGGGTGTGATGTAGCAGGGTAGAGGGAGGACGGCGTGTGAGTAGCAGGTAGAGGAGGAGGGTTGTGGATGTAGCAGGGGTAGAGGAGGTGGGTGTATGTAGCAGGCCCAGGTGTTAGAGGATGGAGGGTGGTGAATTAGCAGGCGTAGAGGGAGGAGGGGTGTTGACTTGTGCAGGTAGAGGCAGGAAAGTGTTATGTCAGCAGGGTAGAGGGAGGGAGGGTTGTGATATTTAGCAGAGGTGGGTTTAGTAGGGAGGTGGCATGAGTGTGGTTGTGTATGTCAGCAGGGGTAGAGGGAGGGAGGCGGCTGGCTTTTGATTTGTGATGTAGCAGGGTAGAGGGGAGAGGGAAGGAGGGGTGTGATGTAGCAGGGTAGAGACAGGGAGGGTAGTTGACTGTGCCAGGTAGAGGGAGGGAGGTGTGATGTAGGGGTGGAGGCCAGGGAGGGTGTTGATGTGCAGAGTTAGATGGAGGGAAGGTGCTGATGTAGCAGGGTAGAAGGGGAGGAGGGGCTGTGAGTAGCAGGGTAGACGCAGGGAGGGCTGTGATGTAGCAGCTGCCCCCGCCCCCCGGTAGAGGCAGGCACGTAGGGAGCTTGTGATGTAGCAGCTGTTAGAGGCAGGGAGGGTGTGATGGAGTCAGGGTAGTAGGGAGAGAGGGATGGTGAGGAGCAATCTTGTTGATGCAGTGCAGTGTTGCGTGGTTAGAGGGCAGGGTCAGGCATGCTGATGGTAGAGGGTAGAGGGAGGTGAGGGTGTGATGTAGCAGGGTAGAGGGAGGGAGGACGGTGTTGATGTAGCAGCGGGAAGGAGAGGGGAGGGAGGGGGTGATGATCTAGCAGGGTAGAGGCAGGAGGGTGTAACTGTGGCAGGGAGGGTGTGATGTAGCAGCCGGGGTAGAGGTGAGGAGAGGGGTGTGATGTCAGCAGGGTAGAGGAGAGGAGAGGGTACGATGTAGCAGGGGTAGGGGAAGAGAGGGTATGATGTGTAGCAGCGGTAGAGGGGGGAGGGTTGATGCTAGCAGAGATAGAGGGAGGAGAGCGTGTCGATAGTAAGCAGGGTAGTAGGGCAGGGACGGGTGTTGATGTAGCAGGGTAGAGGGAGGAAGGGTGTGATGTAAGCAGGGTGGGTAGAGTGGAGGGGGGTGTGTATGTAGCAGAGAAGAGGGAAGGGAGGGTGATGATAGTTTAGCAGGGGTTAGAGGCAGGGAGGGTGTGATGTAGCAGGGTAGAGGGAGGGAGGGTGTGATGTAGCAGGGTAGTCAGAGAAGCACAGGCGTTACCCTACTCATGCAGAACAAGTGAGTAAGGGCAAGGAGAGAGTTTGTAACATGGAGGGAAAGTAAGATGCAACAGTGTGTGTTACAGGGAGGCAGAGCAATATTAATATGCAACAGGGTGGGTTACAGGGTGGGAGAGCAAAGGCTTGAAACCATATAGTGGGTGGCAGCTGGTGACATGACAGGATAGGAAAGCTTCCAACATGTAGGGAAGGTGTGTTCCCAACATAATATGGGTGACGAGTGTGAGGGTGGGTGACGACAGGAGGGTAATAGTAAGTTTATGGGTATGATGTACATTATTACACGTTCAGTATTGCACAGCGTGCTGTTGCTGCTTGACGCTCTCGGCCTCGTGTTATACATTGTAACAGTTCATTTGTGCGAGGATCAACTCGAGATCTGTATTGTTCACGGAGTCACGTGCGAGCTGATCATACATGCATCGACGTAATTACTCAGTGATGTGAGAATGAACGCTGGCATTATCTGAGAGAGTCTATGCTTGCACTAGGTGCTGGAGAGTGAGATGAACATGAAGCAGGCGCAGGTGATGGAGCTAGAGACACAGGCCGCCCACCTTGCCAAGCTGGAGCCAGACAACATCGAGAAGCTAGAAGCCATAGAAGCCAAAAAGACGATGGTCGAAGCAAGGTATGTAGCTCCTAGGACCTCCACGCGTATGAAGCAACATGGGGCCTATTGTGTGAAACAGTGAAATGATTGCGTTGGCATGTCATGAATTTTTGTACATGAAATAGTGTAAAAAAATTATACTTGACATTCTAATATTTTGGTGGTTATGACTTCCTATGATGTATCTGATAATGGACCCCCTAAAGCAGGGGTTCTTAACCTGTGGTTCACAGACCCCTTTGAGGTTCCTGGATGGGCTTCAAGGGGTCCGTGAAACCCACTGTATGCAAAATTGTGCGTTTATGTGCTTATGTGCATTTTTCTGGTGAGAGGTTCGTAGCTTTCACCAAATTCTCAAAGGCGTCCATGACTCAAAAAAGGTTAAGAACCACTGCCCTAATAGTGCCTATAAAGAGTGCCTATAAAGAGTGACATTAAGTGGAGCTCCCTGAGTGTACCAAGCTCTATGTGTTTCTAGGCAGATTCTAGATTGCATTTCACCCTGTCCCTTGTTTCGCTGCACCCAGAGATGACTAAGCCACACTATCTCTTTTTACACGCAGGTTCCAGAAGTTGCAGGCGCCGCTGATGGATCGTAAGACAGCACTGGAGAGGAAGAGAATCGTCTACCAGTTCGGTCGTGATGGTGAGGATGAGTTGATGTGGATCGAGGAGAAGATGCCGCTAGCCACCAGCAAGAAGTATGGCAACAGCCTCTACCAGAGCCAGATCCTGAAAAAGAAGCATCAGGTAAGGGCGCCGTGTTTGTGTGTGTGTGTGTGTGTGCCTGTGCGTGCGTGCGTGCGTGCGTGTGTGCGTATGTATATGTATATGTATATGTGTATGTATATGTATGTGTATGTATATGTATACGTGTACGTGTATATATATATATATATATGTTTATGTATATATGTATATGTATGTATATATGAATATGTGTATATGTATGTGTATGTATATGTGTTGTGTATGTGTATGTGCATATATATATATATATATGTATATGTGTATGTGTATGTATATGTATAGACACACGTACATGTATCTTCTCCTCGCACAGAACCTGCGCAGGGAGGTGGAAAACCACGAGCCGCGCATCCTCAGCATCATCGCCATCGGCAACCAGCTCGTTAACGAGGGTCACCCGCAGGCTGACGAGTTCACGCAGAAGATCGCCACGCTGCAGGATCGCTGGCAGGAGCTGAGAGATGCGCTCGACACACGCGACGCCGCACTCACCGAGAACGAGAAGGCACAGATAGTAAGTAACGCCATCTATAACTAATGCCGTCTAAGTAGCGCCATCTATATCTGACTAAGTGAGAAGGCGCAGATAGTAAGTAACGCCATCTATAACTAATGTCGTCTAAGTAGCGCCATCTATATCTGGCTAAATGAGAAGGCACAGATAGTAAGTAACGCCATCTATTACCCCGTACAGACTGCAAAATTGATCCTACATCAAACTAGTCCAGGATAGGCGCGCGCTAATTTTTTCCAGTGTGTACACGCTATCCCGGGCTAAATACGCGCTAGTTCGGTCTATCTTGGCTCGAAAATGGAGGTGGGCTAGGCCCTCGGCCTCGTTGAAGCGTGCTAAGTTAGCCCGCTCTAAACTGCGTGTGTATGCAATCCGGGACCAGGCGGTCCTGAGATTTCTGCTATCAATGAAATGCTACCCGTGTGTGTTGTAGTAGTATGATGTGTTCTGGTATCACTAGAATATTAGTAAAGTAACATTTACTGGGAATTAAGTAAATAGGGCCAGATGTCTGTTGGCGTAGGTGAGATGTCTGTGAATGTGTGCGTAATGTGATTGAGGCTTCGGTTACATGAATGCAATGAATGCTGCAGAGGGCAGTTTACTAGCTGTTGCATTCCAACGATAGATGGCACCAGCACTCCACTTGCCCCTATACTCTAATCTTTAGTTACTTTTAAGAAGGTTTATTTCACGTGCGGCAGTCTGTTCCATATCATATCCCTCCTTGCTGCCACGGCGAATGTTTTTTTGCCCTCTTATGGATTCCTATTCAGTATGCTCGCGAATTTAAGCTGATTAATTGCTGCAGTTGCTTCATAGGGCATTTTTTTATGGAGGAGGAGCGACTGTACGTGAACTAACAACATGGTACAGCGAGTGCGATGTAACAGTATTCCGCAGAACCATGCTTTCTGTGTGTGCACGCCTAACATTAGCCCCCACAAAGCTCTAACGTCGCCTCTTATTTTAAACCAGCAGAAACGCTGAAAAACTTAAAAGCCGGGCTCCCTAGCGCGCGCACTAGAATATCTCGTGCAGATAAACACGGGTGTGCGCTATATAGCAGAGATGTGATGCGGAGAGATGCGGAGACTGTTGTTCAGCACGGGTTATAAGGTCACCGCGCCGGCCGGCTGAGCTTGTATTGAGCAGTTGTCCACGCGCAGCTGTTAGTCCCAGTTAAGGCGAAAAAAATGCTAGACGATGCGACTGCGATATATCGATTTCATTGACTCGTTCCCTGATGATCGGGTTGGAGGGGGGGGGCGTGGAACTTGAGCAAATTCCCATCTGTCCGTCCCGCGCTTGCTTCTTGCTAACAGCTCGTTTGCGGGAAGCCACACACAGGCATGTCGAGCCTGTATGTATGTATGTATGTGCGGCGCGGGTACGTTGCTCTGGTGTGTACGACTCGCTCACTACACGCGGTATACGGGACACTCGCGCCTACATGTGCTGTTAGTTTGGCTGGGCCTGTGCGCGGTCTGCCGCTGCAGCCTGCCTTGGCGTAGATCTGTCGGCAGGTAGGAAGAGAGCATCGGCGGGTCAGAAAAGGGCGGCACCGACGGATGTTGTGAAGGCCCGCACGCGCGTGTGGGCGTGTACCGCTACTGCCGTGTGTAGAGAGAGAGAGAGAGGAGGTACAGGGTCACCAGGAGCAAGTCACACGATTTACGTTGAGTGCGTGATTGCGGGGCCACGGCTACTGCCGTGTGTAGAAAGAGAAGGTGGAGCTACTGCCGTGTGTAGAAAGAGAAGGTGGAGCTACTGCCGTGTGCAGAGAGAGGAGGTGGAGCTACTGCCGTGTGCAGAGAGAGGAGGTGGAGCTACTGCCGTGTGTAGAGAGAGAAG